CGTCCAGAGCTGTGAGTAGCTTTCTTTGTATTGTTCCTTTTTGTCTACATAGCCACTGTGGTAGGAAACTTGGGGATGATTATTTTAATCAAAATTGATTCTCGACTTCACACTCCCATGTACTTTTTTCTCTCAAGTTTGTCCATTCTAGATCTGTGTTTCTCCACAAATGTCACTCCCAAAATGCTAGAAAATTTCTTATCGGAGAAGAAGACCATTTCATACTCAGGTTGTTTGGTGCAGTGCTATGTTGTTATTGCCGTGGTCCTTACAGAGCACTGCATGTTGGCGGTCATGGCGTATGACCACTATATGGCCATCTGTAATCCGCTGCTCTGCAGTAGCAAAATGTCCAGAGGTGTTTGTGTCCGCCTGGTCATTGTGCCTTATGTCTATGGCTTTCTTCTCAGTGTGATGGAAACCTTGAGAACATACAAACTCTCCTTCTGTGGTGCTAATGAAATCAACCATTTCTACTGTGCTGATCCTCCTCTTATCAAACTGGCATGCTCTGACACGTACAGCAAGGAGCTGTCCATGTACGTAGTAACTGGCTACAGCAATGTCCAGTCCCTTCTGATCATTCTCACATCCTACATGTTCATCCTTGTCGCTATCCTCAGAAGCCGTTCTGCAGAGAGAAGAAAAAAAGCTTTTTCCACATGTGGCTCCCACCTGACAGTCGTTACAATCTTCTATGGAACGCTCTTCTGCATGCATTTGAGACGCCCCACAGAGGAGTCCGTGGAGCAGGGGAAAATGGTGGCTGTGTTTTACACTACAGTGATACCCATGATGAACCCCATGATCTATGGCCTCAGGAATAAGGATGTGAAAGAGGCATTTAAAAAAGCAATGGGAAGACAAAAATTGGAAAAATGAAAATGCTAATATATCATTAAAAATTTGTGAAGTAATGAGATCGAGATATAATATTGTTGGGTTAGATGTCACATTTTAGGCTACATTTGCACAATTCATATCTAATTTTCTATGTTAGGTAGCTGACTGGATTAAGCTTCCTGTAAGTAGCAGGTTAAAATGGGAAGAATAGAAGATGCTGTTTAGGCAATTTATTTATTCTCATGCCTGCTTGTATCAGCAAGTGTCATTTCTTGCAAAAAATAGCGGCTTAAACAAAACTGAATTTTTGCCTTATTTTGTTTTGATAATAGTCATTCCATTAAAGTTATTTTGTAAATCATGATGTTTAGGTTTAGTTGTGTTTAGATGTGAACACGAGCAGGGAGGCTCACTCCAGTGCAAGTAAATTACTATATTTTTACTTTCCTTCCATTTCACTCGTCATGATACCATGAAGAGTTTTAATATGGCTTCAGCCAAATTACAATATTCCTTAATCTTTAGAGATTGTTAGAGAAGTGTCAACATTGCTGATGTTAAATCAATGAACAGCAAGTGTGTGCTAACATTTTCTTATTTAGTTTCTCCATTTATTAACATTATATCTTACAATGTCTTTTTTTTTTTTTTTTGAGATGTGTGGGGTCTCTCTCTGTCATCCAGGCTGCAGTGCAGTGACACAATCTCAGTTCACTGCCTCCTTTGCCTCTCAGGGCCAAGCAATCCTTCCCCCTCAACTTCCCAAGTAGCTGAGACCACAGGAGCATGCCACCATGCCTGGCTAATTTTTGTGTATTTTTAGTAGAGACAGGATTTTAACAAAAGAGGACTTGTGGTCTTCATGGACCATTGTCCTAAGGCAGTTTTCATAATTGTGAAACCATGGTGTAAAAAAATATTCTAAGCCAGGCAGTCACAGTGGCTCATGCCTGTAATCACAGCACTTTGGGAGGCTGAGGCGGGAGGATCACTTGAGCTCAGGAGTTCCAGGTTAGAGTGAGATGTGACTACACCACTCAGCCACTCACTCCAGCTTGAGCAACAGAGAAAGACCCTGTCTCTGAAAAAATAAAATAAAATAAAGAAATAAGAAATAAAATTAAATCCAAGTATGAGGAAAGAGTTGGAATCAGGTTATTTGGCTGTTTACCCAACCATCTAAAAATTCTTCTCAGCCTGATGGAAATCATGAGGTTCTACAACTCCCCTTCTGTGGTGCTAAATCCCAATCACAGAAGTGATCTGTCTTGACAAGTGTGCGGCTTGCTGAAATAGTGCTTGAAACCTGATCATTTTTAGAATGCCCTAGAAGAAGAACCCACAGCATTTATCCAGAAAGAGCCAGTCTAAACAGAAACAAAACTGTTAGGGATCACAAGCTAAGTTACTGCATAGTAAGAGAAGTACTACCTAGCAAAGATGTGCCTGATATTCTAAGCACTGACCAAGCCTGATGGTGTTTCTTCTCATATATAACCCTGCTTTAAAAGTTAAAGGCATGGATAAGGCAGTAATTTAAATACAATGACTATCATCATTTTGTTATTAACTAATAATATCTAACCATTAGTTCAATAAAGATATATTTGGATTGAAAACAATGTTTCCCGTAGAGGTACAATTTATCCTGTTAATTGTTATGCTTAGGAGAAAAGGGAATATGATCTTCAGAGACCTGTGAGCATTTATTAGAATCTTACTGACTGACAGATAACCCAAAGAGTCTTTTGTTCTAGACCATAATTTTATTGAGTCAATATTCCATGATCATATATGACTGAAAGAAAATCAAACTGTTTTACCTTCAACACACTCACACACACTTTCAGGTCCTAGTCTCTGTGTGTGTGTGTGTGTGTGTGTGTGTGTGTTTTCCACATTCTCTGTGGTTACCAACTTGTCCTACAATTCAATTCAATTCTGACACTATCTACCTGGCATTGCCTCAGACTGCACAGGCTCAGCCCCGCAACACTCCTTTGCCTCCCATCCCCCAGCCACTTCAGATACTGATGGCTAGTCTGTGATCCAGTGTTGCATGATAGCTCCAAAATGCTCTGTGTTATTTGAAGGAAAAATAGTGTATAAAATTGGGGGAAAAAATGCCAGGCAGAGTGGCTCATGTCTATAATCCTAGCACTATGGGAGGCCGAGGCAGGAGGATTGCTGATTAGCCTGTGCAATATATTGAAATGTTGTCTGTACAAAACAAAAACAAAAAACCAACCAACCAACCAACAAACAAAAAATGTAGTCAGGAGCAGTGGCACATGCCTGTAGTTGCAGCTACTTGGGAGGCTGAGGTGGGAGAATTGCTTGAGACTGAGAGATTGAGGCTACAGTGAGCCTGTATTGTGCCTCTGCACTTTCAGCCTGGGAAACAAAGAGATACCCCTTCCCAAAAATAAAAAATAAAGTACAATTGGGGGAAAATTAAGAGGCCTCAAAGTTCTGAATACAGAAAACTCAGCAGTGATCAAATAAGAATAAGAATATATCACCGGAATATAAGATCCATGAGCATAGATACAACTTTTTGGACTATGTTCCAGGCACACAATAAATGCATAAATGAATAAATAAATGAATGCCAATATCTATAGGAGATGACATCAAGATTAAGAATTGTGCTTTTTCACCAGGTGCTGTGACTCATGCCTGTAATACCAGTGCTTTGGGAGGCTGAAGTGGAAGGATTGCTTGAGCCCCCAAGTTTGAGACCAGCCTGGGCAACATAGCAAAACCCCATCTCTAAAAACTGTACAAAAAGAAATTAGCTGGGTATGGTGGAATCAGCTTATAGTCCCAGTTACTGGGAGACTGAGGTGGGAGGATGGCTTAAGCCCAGGAATTTGAAGCTGCAGTGAGCCAAGGTTACACCACAGCATTTCAGCCTGGATGACAGAGCAGACCCTGTCTCAGAAACGGCCATCACCACCACCACCACCACAACAACAACAACAACAACTAACAATTGTTTTTCAATGCTTTAGAGTACATTCACCTGCTAGAAATCAGACACAGCCCTGTGGAAAGCAGGAAGAGAAACCAATCAAGTTAGTTTTTTCCAAAGTAAAAAACAGAACCTCAAAATATTAATCAAGCTCAATTAGAGAAATAAAGTTGCATGCTTTACGATACAGAGATTGTGAACTGAAAGTATATCCACTACATTTTCAAACAATTATCTTTGTCAATATCAATTTAAATCATATTTCTCAAGCGGGTTAACTTATTTTTCTCTCCTAAAGTGGTAGAAACCATAAAGACTAGGAAAATAGCGATTTGAAATCAGTTTTATCAATAAAAACAATAAATCAAGGAATTATTTTTAATATTAAAAAAGAACAAAACAACACAAACAACAATAGGAAATTATCAACCCTAACCTAGGAATTAAATTGGTTTTAAAGAATTATATCAATTGTTTCAGAAAGGAGAAGCCCATTTAGTGTTTATCAATGACATATTCATAGGAAATGTATTCTCCTTTATTCTCTCATTTTTTTCCTAATTATCTTACTCTAAAAGGGAAGAGGCTTTCTTCATTAATACAAAAAAGTGGTAGTATGCCTATCGTGAAGTCTAAATTATTTCAAATATATGTTGTGGCTGATGCAACATGGACATGATTATTATCACATGGGAAAACAAGACTTTTTTTTTAATTGCACTTTAGGTTCTGAGGTACATGTGCAGATCATGCAGGGTTGTTGCACAGGTAAGTGATTTGCTGCCTCCATTCCCTCGCCACCTATATTTGGCATTTCTCCCCATGTTATCCCTCCCCAACCTCTTCATGCCCCACTGTCCCTCCTCTAGACCCCCAACAAACTCCACTGTGTGATGCCATTTTCCCGCTCCAAACAAGTACAACACAGTCCCTAGGATACCTAGAAAACATTTTAAACAGGAAGAAAGCAAAATCTCAAGTTTTCCCAACCCTTGTTTTTAAAAATTCTAATTCTGTTGAGAGACATTTTGCTTTTGGGGGTCACTTTACATTGCAGATGATGCAATATGTAACATTTTAATTACTTCAGGTTTCTACCTGTATTCCCTAGTGAGAAAGCTCCATAGTGAGAAATCCAACACTTATAAATCCTTCTGAATTATTCATTGATCATGGCAGATGGGATGCTCCCAAGAAGATTTTTTTTTTCCCATGCACAGGTAGGTATATGCACAGGGAAAATCAATGTGTTTTTATAAAATCTGTCTAAATTGTCAGTTCTCTAAGCTGTCCTAATTTCTAGTAGGAAGGTTTCTAATTCTGTGGAAGGTTTATAGGAAGTATTTTAGAAAAGCTTCTCTGTGGCAATGGAAGTTGGATGTGGATAGTGCTTTGGACTTGATGCTCCCAGTGCAAGAACTACAATTCAATAAGTCAAAGAAATGTATATTACTTTATCTGAACAATGGAAACCCTACACACAAGTGTCACTAAGTGGTAACCAAAAAAATAGTGTTTCTGTTTCATTTACTAAAGATATTTCCTTGGTAATACGAGTGATATCATTGATTTCTCTTTCTTTGTGTTTCTGTCTTTCTATCATACACATGTACGGAGTCATTGAATTAAACTTTTATGCAGTATGAGCATCTATACAATACCAACAATATGTTTTCAAACTCAGTTATTGACATAGAAGCCTTCTTTTCCACAGACATTAATAAATGATTCTACATTACTTAGAAACCACCAGGTTCTTTTTTCATTCTTCTTTCTCCAATCTCAATGGGTAGAGCTTTGCATGGACACAGCCTGAGAGAACGAGTCAGCTCTGTGTATCAGCTCTGCGTGTCATTTATAATTCTCTGCCCTCTTACAGGTAGCACTTCGTTATAGCTAGCTTGTAAGTCCCTTGCAGTTTATATAATGGGCTCTGACACTTTGTAGGGTGACCAACCTTCTTGGTATGCCTAAGACCATGGAGTCTACCAAGATGCAAACCTTACATTCCTAAACTAGAAAATATCAAGACAAACTGAGTGGCAGTTGTTCACCCTACATATATCTTACCACAACCGATAGTAAACTTAGATGGATTTCATGAGAGTATCAACCATTGGAATCTCATTGTGTTATGCAATTCAAATTTGTCATTAAACGTCTGTTAAAATTTGAAACCTTCTTGGAAACTTAACTAATTTGGCTTGACTTTACTCATTGATACACTGAGCATTTAAGTGACTGCAGACCAATATTATTTATTTTTTTCTTATATTTTGGACTAGAGTGGCCATAAGTGAAAAGAGGGCAGTTACAAATGTTTTCATAAAATATATATTTTCTTAATCACCAACTAAATCAACAAAGCTGTAAAAAATGTTTCCTCAGAATGTGTGCATAGAGTAAGCCTATAATGTTGTTTCCTTCAATCACTGCTAACCTTCCAAGAAAGGAAGAAAATAATGTCACATTTTCCCAATCTCTCTTTTATTTCTGTCATGTGAATTCCAACAAAGAGATGAGTAATGGGAGAAGCATATATATAATAAGAAATCTAAGATAAGGGCAATTACTAGGGAATGAGGACAGAAGGACAGAAATCAGATGATAGGGAGCAGGAAAAGGGACATGTCTTCACAGACAAGAAACAGGGTATTAGTAATAGCTATTGATTCAAGAAAGGTGAAACAGTGAGTTTCCTGGAAAACATTAAATAAATTAATAATAACAAAACTAAACAAAAGAGCCTTACACTTAAATATGTGACCAAGGACACTTAGTTCCAATTATGAATTAAGCTGGTAAGAGTATACACTGGTACACATGATCTGAAATTAGTGTGTGTTTTTGTATTGAGTGACACAGTTTGGCAGGAACAAAGCTGCTTTCCAATAAAGAGTTTGATGACAGGCTTCTAGTAAGAAGGAATTGATGCAGATGTTATTATAAATGCATAAAGGTAGAATCAATTATAAGAAGTATGGTAATAGCAGCTAACTCTATGTAGTGTTTCCTGTGTGCTAGATATTTTTTACACCCTTTCCTTGTATCATCTTAGTTAATCCTTACAAAAACTTTATGTTTTTTTCAGAAGAGGAAACAATCTTCAAGACATGAGTAACATTATTTTAAAGCAAACAATCAAATCATATTATGCTGTATTGTAAGTGAGATACTAATCTTTAAAGAAAAATATTCCTTTTAAATGTTTCTATTAGGGCTAGAGCTGAATGTATAATTTTTGTTACTGATTCAAAGTATGTTTGTATTGCCTCTAAAAGTTCTGTGGAAAAATATTTTAAATAATTTTCTACATTCTATTGTTGTACTACTATGATTTGGAATATCTTAAAGATATTTTCTCATGTAATATCTCATTCATCTTCTTTATACTTTTATGAAGTAGGTCAAAATATTCACTATTTATGTAATAGAGAAACCATTATATCGGTTGTTTTTATGCAAATTGTATGAATCTGTGTGTATGTGTGTGTGCATGATTTGTCCAATAGTTACTATGAAGTGTGTAGGATACATATTTATGTGTGTGTATTTCTATTATTTTGTATTTATTTATTTATTTATGAGATGGAATCTCACTCTGTTATTTAGGCTGGAGTGCAGTGGCAGGATCTCAGCTCACTTCAACCTCTGCCTCCCGGGTTCAAGCAATTCTCCCTGCCTCAGCCTCCTGAGTAGCTGAGATTACAGGCACCAGCCACCATACCTGGCTAATTTTTGTATTTTTTTTTTTTTTTTTTAGTAGAGATGGGTTTTTGCCATGTTGGCCAGACTGACCATGAACTCCTGACCACAGGTGATCCACCCGCCTTGGCCTACCAAGATGCTAGTATTACAGGCATGAGCCACTTTGCTGGCCTCAATTATTTTAAAATGAATACTACATTTTACAACCACTTTTCTTTTTCTGAATACATAACACACTAAAATATAGTACTCAAAAAACAAGGCCAGAGAATGTTAAAAACTAAAAGCCAAAGTCTTTTATTTCTAAAATAAAATTTTAGGTATTTCTACTGAAGTCATTTCCATTTTGCAAAAAAAAAAAAAAAAAAAGAAAAGAAAATTAACTTACAAGAACATTTGAGATTCATATTAAACTTTTTTACTCATCCGAATATTATGTTTATAGTAATTCAAAAATCACGCAATCCTAACATGAGTTTTTTATGTGTAACTCTCTTGACCATTACAGGTTCAGAACCTTCACACAAATGCATGACTTTCTTAGCCATTATTGGACACTCAAGTTGTACAGTGTAATGAAAGATTCTTCACAAAAACTCTGAAGGAAACCAAATGTTTCCTATGACTCTTCTTTTGTCACCTGATGATAAAGTAAAAACTATTAAGAAAAAACAAAAATGTTAACTTTTTTTTCTAAAGGCATAAAGGAGAATGCCAAAATATAATTGGGATTATGTTAATAGATTTTTATAGAATGCTTAATATTAGTGAAAGTTAGTGGGTTTAACCTATCTGATGATTTTTACAAATAAGAAAATTGGATCTCAAATTTAAAAAAAATAACTGAGTAAGAATACAGCTTGGCATTTTCATCAGTTTATCCTTTTATGATACCTCATGTATATTATCTTTCTTAATTTTCATGGCTCCCTGAGGCATACCCGTTCTGTATCCCTATTTACTCATGAAGAAACTGAAACACAGGGCTTAGGTCTAAGGTCAAATGCACACCTAGTAGATAGCAGAGTAGCAGAGCTTGAAATTAAACCCAAGAACCTCTAGCCGTTTTACTGTTAATGAAATATTCCAACTTTGTTAATATATAATATCTAATGGAACAAATGGATCACCTGAGTCATTAATTTTCATTATCTCTCAGCTTAACATCAATGGAGACCAGCTGGGAGGTGATAGTAATATGTTTCTAGCTTGCTTTTAGGTGGCAAATATAGGGTAGTTTTATGGAGGATGATCAGTCATGCATTCTCTTGGTCCATGAATAAATGTAGCATAAGTAGAAAACTGCTGCTTGTAAATTAGCTCAAGATATTTAAAGTAGAGTATAAGACTCTGCTAGAAGGTAACGAGAATCAAGATAACTGTATTCTTACTCAGTTATTTACTTAAACTGATGCAGTTAAAAACCAAAAATACCTTTCTCCCTAATGTCTTAACAATTTTTTAGCTTGCTTGTACATTTTATGGATTTTATTAATTAAGCTATATACTTAGAGAAGAATAATGTAGTCCTTTGCCCAGTATTTTATTACTCTTATGTTACTCACCCTTCTAAGACAGAGAGGAAAGAAGACACTGGCATAGAATTTGTTAATCCTTCAAAACCAACAGAGAATAAGATTCTTTTTTTTTTTTTGCTTCTTTTTATTTTATTTTATTTTATTTTTTCCCATTTATTTATTTTATTGTATTTTAGGTTTTGGGGTACGTGTGAAGAACATGCAAAATTGTTGCATAGGAACACACATGGCAGTGTGATTTGCTGCCTTCCTCCCCATCACCTACATGTGGCATTTCTCCCCCTGCTATCCCCCCCCAGCTCCCCACCCCCCACCGTCCCTCCCCTATGTCCCCCCAACTGACCCCAGTGTGTAGTGCTCCCCTCCCTTTGTCCATGTGCTCTCATCGTTCAACACCCGCCTATGAGTGAGAACATGCGGTGTTTGATCTTCTGCTCCTCTGTCAGTTTGCTGAGAATGATGGTTTCCAGATTCATCCATGTCCCCACAAAGGACCCAAACTCATCGTTTTTGATGGCTGCATAATATTCCATGGTGTATATGTGCCACATTTTCCCTATCCAGTCTATCGTCGAGACAGTGTGGCGATTCCTCAAGGACATAGAAATAGAAATTCCATTTGACCCAGCAATCCCATTACTGGGTATATATCCAAAGGATTACAAATCGTTCTGCTATAAGGACACGTGTACACGAATGTTCATTGCAGCACTGTTTACAATAGCAAGGACCTGGAACCAACCCAAATGCCCATCGACGAGAGAATAAGATTCTAAAGAGGAGATGATGCTTGAGTTTACGTTTATCAGACTTGTTTAAAACAGAGTTATGGCTAGCAGTGATTAAATTTCTTTAGAATGATGTAAACAAAATTAATAATTGCCTAATTAACTAAAAAACTATTCTTTTTTGATATGTGTAATGATTTTATGTTAAGGCATGTATATATTTTTATCAAGTCATTTTTCTAATTACTGTTTCAATTTTGCAAGGTGATTAAATGGAGGTACCATATAACTTTCTCATTATGGAATAGTATTTTTGATTTTCTTGGCCATCGCTTTAAATAAAACACTAATATGTGATAGATCATCTAATCTCTACTTAGTAAAATGTTAGCACCTTCTGAAAGTTAGGACCAGTGTTAAGTTTTTGTCTTTCCAGTATATGGCAAAAATAAACATTATGCTTCTGAAATCTCTATTTTTAGGCATGTAAAAACTAGATCTCGTAAGTTATATCACTATATTTCTGAATTTTTGCATTATTTTACCACTTTCTGCTTAAAAATCTTGCATATATATTTATATTTATATGTAGCAGAAGGAAATACTTCTAACAAAAGATGTATGAGAAAGAAGAGGGGAGAGATAAAAGGAAAACTAGCAAAGGTGTTGAAAGGAAGTGAGTTAGAAAAATATAAATATAGAGTGATAATATTCCATGCATGCATTTACTTATTTATATTTGTTTTATTAGATAAAATGCATCTATCTCTGGATCAGATTCAAGAAAATGTTCAATTTCACTGATGTGACAGAATTTATTCTTTTGGGATTAACTAGTCAACCTGAATTACAGCTCCTTTTCTTTGTGGTTTTCTTACTGGTCTACATCATCACTTTGGTTGGGAACATTGGCATGATCATATTAATCAGGATCAGTCCCCAGCTCAATAGCCCCATGTACTTTTTCCTCTGTCACTTGTCTTTTGCAGATGTGTGGTTCTCCTCTAACATCACTCCAAAAATGTTGGAAAATTTGTTATCTGAGACCAAAACCATTTCCTATCCTGGATGTATAGTGCAGTGCTTTTTCTTCATCGCTTTTGTCCATGTAGAAGTCTTCATCCTTGCTGTGATGGCTTTCGATAGATACATGGCAATTGGAAACCCTCTACTTTATGGCAGCAGAATGTCAAGAACTGTCTGTATTCGACTGATCTCTTTCCCTTATATATATGGCTTTTTTATCAGCTTGATCTCAACACTCTGGACCCATGGTTTGTACTTCTGTGGAAACATCGAGATCAACCATTTCTACTGTGCAGATCCAGCTCTTATCAAAATGGCCTGTGCAGGGACTTTCATTAAAGAATACACTATGCGCACACTGGCAGGTCTCAACTTCTCTTATTCCTTATTGGTCATTATTGTCTCCTACATTTTCATCCTCATTGCCATCTTAAGAATGCGCTCAGCAGAAGGGAGAAAGAAAGCTTTCTCCACATGTGGGTCCCACTTGACAGCTGTCACCATATTTTATGGAACTCTCTTCTTTATGTATCTTAGAAGCCCAACTGAGGAGTCCGTGGAGCAGGGAAAAATGGTGGCTGTTTTTTATACAACAGTCATTCCTATGTTGAACCCCATGATTTACAGTCTCAGGAACAAAGACGTAAAGGAGGCCATGAGCAAAGTGATGAGTAGAGCATTTTAAAATTAATAAGAACTTAAAATGCACTGTGAGCTTTTAGTTCATTAGAAGAGGCAGAAATTAATAATTTCTTTTAGATAATTTTTAAGAAATGTGTTATTTATATTTTCAGTGATAAATAAAAAATTATAGATAATTGGAAAAAGACTAAAGGTATTCAGATACTAGAGGTATATTGTAAACAAGACCCTCTGTGTCATAAAATCTGAAATGATGAAAACGTGTTGACAATACTATCTACAGATTTTCCTTTCCACACAATGTCAAATTCAGTAGGCTCTTTTGTAACTGGGGAAGCTATTTATGATTCTTTAATACTTCATAAATCCATTCTTTCAATTACATTCTCAAAACAACTGGAATGTTCTCTATGAGTTTTTTTGTTTTGTTTTAGGTTTTGACTCTAGATTATGTTATTATTGCAAAATGTAGAAGTAGAATATGGTTTCACCATTTATCATTGTTATAATGGGAAACAACACTCTTGATAATGGAATATATTATGTAGAATATATTATAAATTCTAAGTCAAATTAAATATTGTATACTGCATGAGTATTCATTTTCAAGTATATACTAATTCATTAAATAAAATTCATTTATGAATGACTTATTTAATACCCTCCAATACCCATTTGAGGTCTTATGTATGTCTTATCATTTAAACAACATCAGAAAGTGATGACACAATCCCACTGGTGTTTTGGAATTTAGAGCATGCTCCTCTAAGTACTTTAGTAAATTACTTTTGAAATGTTTTGAGCATTTATAGAGATATGTTTACTTTTTTTCCTTGGTTTTGTTTTGTGTTTTTGGGTTTGGTTGTAGAAGAAACTAGCTGTCCCCCTAGAAGTTCTAGTGCATTCATTTCCATTATGTCTAACTTTAATTTTTTTTTTTTTTTTGAGACAGAGTCCCGCTCCGTCTCCAGGCTGGAGTGCAGTGGTGAGATCTGGGCTCACTGCAACCTCCACCTCCCCGGTTCAAGCAATACTCTTGCCTCAGCCTCCCAAGTAGCTGGGACTACAGGCGCGTGCCACCACACCCAGCTAATTTTTGTATTTTTAGTAGAGATGAGGTTCCACCATGTTGGCCAGAATGGTCTCAATCTCTTGACCTTGTGATCCACCAGCCTCGGCCTCTCAAAGTGCTGGGATTACAGGCATGAGCCACCATTCCCGGCCCATCTAACTTTAAAATTAATAAATCATAATTTTTGTGCAGCAGGAGCCTTATTCTTTGCTATTTTATCATAATGTTGCCTCAGTTTTTAAAAACTTTTCTTTGAAAAGCAATTTAAGGCACAAAGAGCTGAGTTTGATTGTGAACGTATAAAATGTATAATATTTCTTGTCGGGACAAATGCCCTATTCATCATCGTTTATTTAGCAATAATTTAAAAAAAGACATTTAAAAAATTAAACTGAAGCTTTCACAAAGAAAGCAAAATTGTGCATTATAAATACGTACAGACACATGTACATATGTGTGTATGTATATATACATCTGTGTATTCATACATACATGTATATATGCTCAGGGTATGGGCGAGTGCTTGTAGTTGTGTGTTTTTTTCAGAATAGTTAACTTGATCAGAATTTTTTATAAGTTCCTTGTCAGAAATTTCTTTCAGTACCAAACTTTGGTATTACATAAAAATAATATTACTTATATTAATTTATTTTATTTATTATATTAGTATATTATATCCTATCATATGATACCTTTGTGTAGTATCTTATTTTCCCTTCTATTACATTTAATTTTATAAATGCCTACTTCATCAACAGACCTTTTTCCTCTACTTAGCTATATCCTGACAATAGATCTTAAACTTAGTCAATTTGAAAGGCAGATTATTTCCTCACTATTATACTTTAAATATGCTTACGTACTGGTGAAGTTAAATGTTATAACATGCTCCTCAGGCATTTGAATTATTTGAATTCTGTTTGTTGATGTTGCTTATTTTTTCTTTCTTGGACAATTCATATATTTCAAAATGAAGTGATTATCCTAATTACTTTCTGAAATTTAACTTTCTGAATTTTGCTGAGTTTTAACTTCTATCAGAGAAAAGATCATTTCTGACTTAATCATCACTGTAATACTAGTATCATAAACTCCCTACATAATACCTTAATAAATATTTGTTAATTACATAAATAAACTGATTATTAGTTATATATGCCACATGTTTTGCTTAAAGCTTTCGGTGGTGCTTTAGAACATATTTATATTTTTAATGTTTAGGTAGTCAGACATATCAATTTGTTCTTTCTAGTTTCTTCACTAATGTTATTATAAAAAGATCCTTTTTTAAATGTGGGTTTGCAGTCTGTTATATTGTCTGCAAGTCCAACTTCCTCTCTTTTTTAGTAAAAAATAAAATAAAAACAAAACCCTACAAAGCTAGATATATTTATCAGCTTCCTTGCAGTTTCTGTGTCCAAGTGTCTGAGGTCTACTCAAGAGCATAAATGCAGAAGAATTGTATACTGTTTTTAAGCCCAGCCATAAAAGTCTTCCAGGATTCATCCTGTATTTCATCTTTTATTTTTTGTCTGTCCCACCCATAGTTGCAAACAAATGTCTCTGAGGCCCCAAATGATGATTTACAGTCACAGGGTGAAATATTTGGTCACTGAATCACTGTGATGATCTCCTGACAACATGCACATTTGCCTGTTATATGAGTGAGAAATGAACTTCAGCTATACTAAGCCATCAAGTTTTCAGAGACTGCTATGGTTGCCAGTGTTATTTTAACTAATATGGGTAGACTACATAACCAGTCATATAAAAGTTCACCTAATGCATGAACACTCAAAATACTTACAGTTGATTTAACTCATCGAGAATGTATTTTTGTATATGATTTGAGGCAATAATTAGGCTTAATTTTTATTGGAATTAAGCATCATCACTTATTTAATAATCCAGCTATCCCCACTAATTTTCAAATGCCAATAATAATATACATAAAATTGTTTTGGTCTTTCTCAGCATTCTAAACCTTTGCTTAGTTAATTAATTGATTCATTTTACACATATTAGGGGAGTGACTATTATGTACTAGGTCCTGTTTTAGTTATTTGCTATCAATGAGCAAA